ACAAACCTTGAGAAGTGCTTCTAGAGGATTCTGACACGGCTCCTGTGTGACCTCACAGCAGCTTGTGTTTCCTTCAAACTAGGGATTCAGAAGACTAATTGGGAAAGGGACAAAAGCAAAGACTTTTTTCCCACCTCTTGGGTTAGACTGGCTTAGTTTTCCTTATGAATTTTCTTCTATTAAAGTGCTTTTAAATGACTTACTTCCTAATGATTAATACATGAAAGTAGGCTAAAATACAAAATATCTAATACTACATGTGTAAATACACACCTGAAATATTAAATTAAATTAAAATCAAGTCAAAAGCCTTTGGGTTTTTCATTGTTGTTGTTAAAAGACAGAACGAAGTATGCTTATTATGACAAATGTTTTCAAGGAAAATAAACAAATATAAAATAGAAATTATCCAAAATTTACTACCAGGGGACAACCAGTGTTAACTTTTATGTTTAATTACACATATACTTGCCGAAGAGAGAGAGAAAGAGACAAAGAAAGAGAAGGAGAAAGATTCCCAATGAAGGTATCGTCATACCACAATCCCTTCTCCTCCGTATCTCCATCCTAAAAGAGTTTGAGGCTTGCACACACATGCACCTGACATGTTTTTCAAGAGGCCAGGGCCAGGATTCAAACTGTGGTTGGCCATATGGGACCTGGCTCCTTTAAAACCAGGTTATAGGCGGACTGACATGAGTTACTGTTCTCTCTATATATAGCTAGATAGCGCTATAGATATAGAGATATAGGTATAGTAAATATGTAAATGTAGATTTTACTTTTTAAACGTTTTTGTTAAAAACTAAAACACAAACACATTAGCCTAGGCCCACACAGGGTTAGGATTATCGAGATTACTGTCTTCTATATCCACATGTCCCACTAGAAGGACCATGATGAACCAAAAAGACTAAATCAAGCACGAGAAATAATAAGGCAATCGAGAAACAGGATACGCATGAGCTATACAAGGCTGTTGCCATGGAACAGGACAGACTAACTGCAAACCTTTCATAACTCTAACTATAGAGAGTATAGTATAGTAAAGTTATAAATCAGTAGCAGTCGTTTATTACCATTATCAAGTGTTAAGTAATGTATTTATGTGCCATTCTTTTATTGAACTGGTAGCACAGTGTGTTTGCTTATACCAGCACCGCCACAAGCACGGAAGTAATGCCTTATGCTGCAGCAACACAGCTATGACGTAACTAGATAATAGAAACTTTTCAGAGCCAGCAGGTGGTATGACTGGTGGTTAAGGGTCTGGACTCCCACACGGTCAACAGCAGTTCAAGTCCCAGACCTGGAGGACTTGCTTTCTCACTTTCTCTCTCTCTCTCTCGTGCCCTATAGCAAATTAAATAATAATAGATAAACTTAAATAAATAATTGTTAAAAAAAGGAATTAAAAAATAGAAAATTTTCATCTCCATAATAGTCATAAGGGACCATTGTTGTATATGAAGTCTGTCATTGACCAAAATGTTGTTATTTAGCACGTAAACACATAAATATATCTATGCATAAAAAATCTGAATACTTTTGCATCTCTACAACAAATTCTTTAATATTATCTGGTGGCAAGATAATATTCTATCATATTTCTTAATAACTCATGTTTCGACAAATTTTGGTAATAATATAAACTTCAAGGAGCAGCTTTGTTTTTAGAACAAGTTCCTAAGCTTACGGTGCGTGAGTCCAAAACTATTTTTACTTTATGTAAACAACTGTGTCAAGTCTTTTATGTGCTCTGTCTGTCGGCATCCTCTCCATCCAAGTCATGTACCATCACCCGTATTCTCACTTAGGATTTTCTAATTGTGTTTTTCACATTTAAACCTTTAACATATAACAAATTAACTTTGCCGCTCTGAGTAAAATAGAGATCTAACTTTAAATTGTTTTAAATGGTCAACAACTTGTTGAACAGGGAAACCACCGGCTCAGCCACAGTTGTGCAGGAGGTGGGGCAACACGGCACGATACTGGAGACACGGGGAAGGCCTGAGATCTGGACCCCAGGACATCTGAACATGCCTAACATGCCTGCGGTGCTGTGATGAGACCTGATGGGGGATCCCTCCCCTCTCTCTCTCCATCAAGAGAGAAGTAAATATGCTTTAAAAAAACTATACTTATCATATATACTATATGCTAAACTAGCTTATTTATAATCTCTTCTGATATGTGCACACACACAAAAACCATAAATGCACAAATATGTATGTCTATGTATAAATATACTGCATATGGAAATAGTTATAAATACCCATACTTCTGCATCTGTACTCGTTCTGTTCTATGCCATTGACCCATCTGTCTCTGCTGGCAATTATTATTGACTTAATTCATTATTTTACCTTAAAACGGCCTTCTGATCCAGTAAGGCAAAACTGACCATCCTTTTTTTCCCCTCTTTTGTCTTTTCTTATTGTCAGAGTGGGCATGTGCTTATCAGAGGGAGATGGAGAGGGAGAGAGATGGAAAAAGGACTCCACAATGGGGCATGGTCATGCTGCACTCCCTCTTCCGTCCTTTCTTCATACCACCCAGATTTAAGGAATGCTTACACATGTGCCTGGTGTTTTTCAGGTAGTCAGGGCTGGATTTGAACTATGTCTGGCCCCATTAACCTCTGTGCTATAGTGTCAGCACTGACCCTCTTTATTTTAAACACACACACACACACACACACACACACACACACACACACACTGCTTAATCATATTAAGATACATTTTTCTTAGTTTTTGTTTTTCTTTCTTTTTTGAATCTGCAGACCCTTTGTCTTTTAAATAGGCTTAATAGCCTATTATCAAACATTCTTGGCATAGTGTCTAATCTACTTCATGGAAACAGATAGCACTTCAGGCTAAGAAATCCCAACGCCTCCAGATGCCTGTAGAAGTGATACCAACCAGTTCTGTGGTGTCCCTGTGTGCCAACCACTTCAGAATCCAGTAAGGAGCAGGAAGTGAGGCCATATGAGTGCTTGACTATGATTTCATATGACCGCTCCCCGATTTATTTCTGGAAAGTGCATGTGACATCTCTTCACATACATTGCTATCTTTATGTTCTGCAGAATATGCCAAATGAAGCAACAACCCCAAAGGCAGTCTGTTTGAGAAAATCAATTAGAAAAAAGGACAAAATTATGTCTTGTTTAGGTACAAAACAGAAACATGGCATTTCTGAGACTTGCTGTGACTTTAGATGAAATAAGCTAGTATTTTTAGGTGTTTTGAGCAACTGACTTGCTCTTTCCAGTCTTATATGGAGTCCTTCCCACCATGGTTAAGCAATGAAATTTTTACCCTCTGAAAAATAAGAAAAGAATTTTTTTTTCCTTTGGAAGAATTATTTTATTTAACTTTATTTATTTATTTATTTATTTATTTATTTATTTATTTAAATTGGACCAGAGAGGGACAGCGTGAGAGAGAGAGAAAAGGAAAGTGATAAAGTAAGTTGCTAGGTCTGGGACTCGAACCACAGTTAGCTATGTGGAAGTCCAACACCCCCAACCACCATGCCACCTGCTGGACCTGAAAAGATAAACTTTTAATAGAGCAGATGAAGCTCTACTGACCCACTAATATTCCTGTCCTGTAGGTCGCCTTCTTAAAGGCACAAAAAAGGGCAATTGGCTGAGATCAGACATGAAACCCGTGGCTAAGGAAGGGTAGAGAGGGACCAGCAGTTAGTATAATGGCTATGTCACTGGACTCCCACGTAGTCGACCGCAGTTCGAGTGCCAGACCCGGTGGCTTAAACTCACGCTGGTTACATGTGTGTGCATGCCCAAGATCCCAAGAGGAGAATGGAGGAGAAGGGATTGTGGCATGACCATCCCTCCTGGGGGGTGATTTCTCGCTTTCTGTCTCTCTGTCTCTCTCTGTCTGGTGAGTGCCCGTGCCCTGTAGTAAAAAAAAACTCCCAAAAAAAAAAAAAAAAAAAAAAGGAAGGGTAGAGAATCGTCACATGCAGGGGTTGTGGCAGGTCTATAGCAGTATTACCACCAGTTTTTGCTTTTTAAGACAGAGACTCACTATATTGGGATCCTCTGAGCTCTTGAGTAACTGGAATGACAGGAGTGCATCTGCACCAGCATGCCTGGTTTTTCTGGATGGGGCAGGAATAGAACCTGGGCCCCCATGTGGTCTCAGCCTGCTGAGTGGTGGTGTCAGTCAGCCCCCACTACCACATTTGGACTATCAAAGTGTTGTGATCAATCGCCACTGACATCCAAGAGCCTGGATGTGTAGATTATCCTTCTTGGTCGGCATT